CTAGACTGTAAGGTTTCATCCACTAACACCAGGAATGTCCCCTGCTCTTTTTGTTAAGTGTGATGGGATCTTTAATGTGCTCAAGGTTTACCACACTGAGTTCGCCATTCGTCTACCAATTCCCTCTCAGTTATGGCATTAGGTAGAAGCGAGGTGAACATGACTTGATGACAGAGATATGCTCAGTTTCTACTTGAACAGGAAGACAAAAACATTTTTGTTCTGACAAATTTCTTTTGATCTCTTGATATTTTGCTAAGCTGTTGTGACCAACAAGTCAATTGAGCAACAATGTGGGGTTGTGTGGTGCAACGGCAGAGTGCGCGACTCGGAATCAAGAGGTCCCGGGTTCGAGTCCTGACATGCCACCGATCTTGTGCCCTTGAGAAAGGCACTACACGACTTTCCCCACTAGACTCAAGTGAAAATGAGTATTGTCTGTCCAGTATTCGTTTCTATGTGCGGGACACAACACCAGCAACAGCTGCCTCTGTTCCGCGTGTATTGCATTGTTGCAATTTCAATAAAATAAGAATAGAAAATGAAATTTTGGAAGGTACCATTTGCGGGTGCTGAACTGAAGTCCATTTCAGCACCAAGGACAGTGATTGGCATTTTTTTTCTCAAAGCCTCAAGTCAAGTCAAAACTACTCTTTTCAAAGCTGCTTTTTTGCAGTCTTGTGATGACTACTGTAAGACATATTTTTTGATTGTTTAAGCTATCTAGTGACACAGTGAGTGATTTTGGGTCACTCATGGCCAGTTGTGGTCATTGTTTTGTACTATTGTGGTCCGAAAAAAAGAAGCAAGTTGTGTGGGGGTTATATATGAACAGACTCAATGTTCACAGTGTACTACATGTAGCCCTTACACTACTGGTATCATCAAGGGTTGGTATTCTTCACAATCCTTGGTACTGCAGCAAGGATGACTTATAAACTGCTGCAAGGATGACTTATAAACCAATGGATGTGCCAACTACTGAGTACCTAAAACCAGCTCAGAAAAGAACAAGAAATAGTCATACCTTCAAGTACCAGAGTTATCAACCAAGGATTGAGATGTTCAAAAACTCATTTTTCCCTAGAACTACCAGTATCATAGAGTGGAACTCAATGCCTTCAAGTACAGTAGGGGCATCACCACTAAATAGCTTTAAACAAATTGAAATTCAGAATATTTTAGTTAGATGTGCAAAGGATAGGTGTTAACAGGTCATTCAGTGTAATATAGCCAGCTGCCGCCATGCCATGTGCCTGTGAAGCTGGTGTGTTACGCTGAAGGACGGTTATACCAGCTATACAGATACAGAATAAAAGTAAATCAACTGACACATGATTTGTACCTCCAAATGGACACAAGGGTCAATTTCGAGCATGTCCCAACACTTATGTCCCTTTACGACGGCTTCAGGAATCATCACTAAGACCACCTGGACCCCCTTGTTAGTATATATGAAAACTATTAATCAACCAGTGGCAGAATCTCACTTCGTAACAGCAGTTTCAAAGCCTCTCTACCTAACAAAGGCCTTGTCCGAGGCACAATAGAGTGGCAAGCATGACACAAGTGCCACTTACAGCAATGAAAGTAAGGATATGATCTATGACCCCGGCCATATGGTCAGGGGGCAAGTGGTATGAGCTTTATTGATTATTAGTGGCAAAATGGCACTTCATAACACAGGTTTCATAGCCGGGGACGGCCGGGGAGTGCAAGGGTCTGGCATTGATTGACAGGGAGAGCTGTTCAAGTACTAATGCACCAACTGGTCACTGTTCCAGTCAACATCACTGGGTAGGACCTGTATGGGCCAGGTGAAGGCAATACATTGGTCATAGGACTCCCCCGCTGAAATCCAGGGCAGCAAAACTAAATTTTCAAAGTCAATTTTCTGGTATAATTATCAACCCTGTTAGCATACTGTGAGCACAAATGCAATGCTACCGGAAAACGGTTGCTTGTTTTGTATCGTAAGGCTACACTGAAGACCCCCAAACTAGTGCACGCAGGCGAATTTTTAAAAATTTCGGCCCAAAATAAAAATGCTACTAAACCAACAGGAATACAAAGCTGGTATTGTGAATTTGCGGCAGTACATAGTGACGTACACGACAAGCCGGCACATGTGACTTTTGGCAGAATTTATGAATCTGCACTGTAGGTATGTACTGAGTTCTTGAGTCGTGGTAGGCTTTGGTAGGCTAGGTGCCTGGCTCTGTACTACCATGGACTACCCAGGCCTAGAGCCAGGCCAGAGCCTCTGTGGACGTGACTTTTTTTTGTTTTTTTTTTTTTTTAGAACAGGCGAAAATCAATGCGCGCGAGGATGTCATCCATAAAACTAAGATGGTGTGGCCTTAGTAAAATCGAAAATGGTGGTATTAGGTACTAGGAACATTTTTTTTTATTTCTGAAAACATTTTTAAATGTGCAGGTAAAACTTGTCGGATGCAGGTTATTCTGAGTGTTGCTTGCACCAGTGCAGACATGCAGAAAAAGGATTTTGAGCCCCAAATTCTGTAATGAAACCCAATGTACTGTAAAATATTTTTATAGCAACTCACTCATCAGTGTCACAACTCTCCTGGCACTTGCTGTCCAGACAGGTACTGTAAAATGTAGAAACTTTTGCAGTGGTTTTATTTTCACAGTGACCTTCACACTACAAATTGATGCCACCTAAAATTACATTTCTACTGTACTAACAGAATTATATGAACTGGAATCTAAAAGACTGCGAAAACCTCCTTTTTTTCTTACCTACTGTGAAATAAAACCACGTGAAGTAAGTGAATTTACGGTATGTGATTGTGTTTCACACTTGGCCTGCAGAGGAGCATCTGGCTCAAGTCAACATGATAGATGAGATTAAGTGCTAAACAGTGTTGTTAAGGGCTGAACCTTTGGGCTAATGGTCCCAGAGAGCCATGGCTATTGACAAAACTGTCCGATCGAAACGATCGTGGAGGCAAACCCGGCGCAACAAGCTACACCTCTTCCCTATCTTTCACCACTTTGCAAAACACTCTTCTCTGTGTGGCTGTTAGATATATCTGATGAAGAGGTTGTCTTTTTCACAAGTGTTGACTGTGACTTACATTGTTGACTTGTGAACAGGATGACTCAAAGGGCTGTATTTATTTATTTGTCTGCATGAATCTTTATATAATAATTAATAATAAAGGGGGTTTTATTTGAAACACTTCACAGCCCGAAGGCTGAATTACATGTCCCGTACGTTGTATAAAAACAACTTGTAACAATACAATAATTATATAATTTATTATTATTATTAACTATTATACATGTTTGCCAATGTAGTTTGCCAATTGGAAAACCTGTGAATAATAAAAGTTTGAAATTGTTTGTATGTTATGTACTTGAACAAGATGGTCTACTGGTAGTAGTAAGGTCACACCAATTTAATTTGTTGGTTCTCAGATTTTTTCAGAAAAAATATGAAGCAACAAGGCGAAAAAAATATTTAAAAAACAGGTCTAGGCATCCTCTTATAGCCCCAAATGCTACGATAGGAGCGATAGGAGCCATGAAGTCAACATAAAAGGCTAGGTCTACATGTATATCTAAATAATGAATTTTGAACTCTTAATCAAAGCACTGCATTGATAGACGGAAAAAAAAATCTTTTTTTTTTTGCAAATCAGAAAAAAACAGAGGCGAATCCGAGAACCAACAAATTAAATAGGTGTGGCCTAAGGACCTACTGTAAATCGTAAAATATTTGCGTTGGTTTATTTTCATCTTGACCCTTCCAGTGCTAATTCATGACGTAGCAACTGTCTTCCTTGTAACTGTTCTAGAGATTTGTTTCAACCGCAAATTTAGAACACACCAAATCCTCCCCTTTCCTCCTACCACAAAAAAATAAAACCAGCACAAAAGTTTCACGATTCACAGTATAAGCAGTGCATGCTTGACAAGAAATGTAGCGTAGATGTCCGAGGTGTTACTAGGGAGAGTTTAAAGAGTTAATTAGGAGAGTCAGGGCCTGCCATCAGCTAGTTGATGGTCTGGAAATGAGTCCTCGCGGACCAAAACATCAGTCGGAAAATAAAGCTATATTGGGTCGCAATTACCATGATAATGAAAGCAGTGGGCTGTTAAACCTACCCCTTGGTACTCGGAAAAGACACCCTTATGCCGCCTTAATGAACAACACTTATTAAGGTGATCGCTTTGTAGACATTCATTAAAACTTCTGTGTCAAGTGCTGGAAAACATAGAAGGTCCATGGCAGGATGCGAAATGCCCACTCTTGCCATGCAAGTCATGTTTCTGTGCAAGACTTACATTGCATTTGATGACATCAGATTGCCCCACACACAAGTTATCTTTTTTTTCCATGCAAAGCAACCTTTTTAAAGTTTACAGTGGCCCAGCTTATGGCTTCTGAAGTAAACTGTGTCCCACCTCGGCCAGCATGTGATCGACACCTTTACACCGTGAGGGCTCGAAATTCATTTTTGGGAATAGGTGCACTGGTGCACTCAACCTAAAAAATTGGGTGCACAAGAAATTTTTTGGGTGCACCTTATAAGATGTCAGCAAAAACTAAAGAAAGTGCTATGATAATGTCAATGATTTTTATTATTTTCCTGACACTTAAAGACACATTAACAATATGCTGTATACATTTATTATCTTTACATAGGCAAACCTACGAAACTATTTGGGTGCACTGGTGCACCTACAGAAAAAAATTTGGGTGCACTAAGGTGCACAATCAGTCATGCACCCAGTATTTCGAGCCCTGTTTACAGGTGGTCTGGCTTATGACTACTAAACATAAATACATAGACAGCAACCTGCTATATTGATGGGCTTTTGGCTATTGGGCAACCTGAGAAAATAAAGATTTTGAACCCCGAATAGGTCACAAAGATATCCAACAAAGCACTTTTTCACAGTTGAAGAACCCTTTATTCTGTTTGAAGTAACATGAAAGTTAATGTTGTTTGTTGTTGTTGTTTGTACAGGTAACTCCATGGTGACCAGGTACGACTCCTACGACAGTCTGTCATCGGACCAGAGTAGTCAGGAAGACGACCACTGGCTCTCTCAGGTTAGTCGTCAGTTAATACAAAACTTGACAGAAATTCATGCAGAAAAAAATTCTTCCTGCAGAAAAAATTCTACAGGAAGAAAATAGGAGAAAAATGAATATTAAGGAAAAGTTGTTATCATTCTACATAACATGTACAAAGTACATGTACATCATACCCGTGTCTGAATCAATCATTAGTAAACAATTTTTATTTATTAACCCTTGTCCTGCTGACATTCCTGGCACAATATTTTTCAATAATTTCATGTCTTAATTAGATCATAGACCCCCAAATTTTTTTGCCCTGCAGTAGCATAGTCACTTCCGCATAGTTTCGCTGCGGTGTGATGAGTTGCATGAGAAATACCCCCAAATCGTACCTAATATACAGGGTGCTATATAGATGGTACTGTATGTGCAGAACGACATAATGTTGCGCTCAGCACGACAAGGGGTTAATAAATGCTTTGATATTGAAAATGACACTTTAATTGACATTGACAGGAAGTTAGGTCAAAGATCCCAGAAATTTCACAAAAAAAGGTTATCTCATTTCTTGTCTTCAATTTCCTTTCTTTGTAATGTAGAAATCACATTTAAGTAACCAGTTGGCATAACATTCAAAATATAGAATGTAGGTTTTGTAACAAAATTGTTGATTGGAGAGAGCTGTCAGTGTAGTGAACTTCTGTGGCTGTGTTACATTGACCATGGTTGGTTGAAACTAACAGATCTAGAGCCAACTGATGTTAATGGCAGGACTTCTTGGCTGACCCTCCAACTGTCCTCTGGAATCCTTCCCAGTCTGGCTTGACTTAAGATTTAGGTCAAAGGAGTTCCTGACTTCATCCCAATTACTGCTTAACCCCTTCTGCCTTGTCTTTTGTGAGACAAATGGTCAGATCCACACTCGTAAGTGTCTTTCCTACCACTTTGGCCAAGCACTTTGGGACGGCCGCTGGCCATTAAGTAGACGAGAGCACACTTAGGAAGCATTTGTGTGAAATTAAACGGCTCAAGGCTGCCTTACAGTTCATCTTGCTAATGTAACCCTGTAGTCTAGTTGTTTGAAATATAGATGTGCCGGCAGGGACCCAGGAGTTACTGTTATACGCTATGGGGCCATTCTAACGGATTGCGTGCGCTGTGACTACTCCTACTAGGAGGCAATTGGCACCGACTTAAATCCTCTGTTTTTACCTCAGGGTACAGAAGTAGATTTTGGGTGGATTATATTAGCAGTGGGGTTTGTGTGTCAGTTTGCCAGGCAGGGTAGGTTGACAGCACATGGGTGGGGAAAGATTGACAGGCAGTAGAAAGGTCATAAGGTCAGACACGGGAAATAAGGTGAATGTGAAGGTCTCAGAATCAGCCCAGGAGCCAGCCAGAATTTGTGGTAGACATGGGGGAATTCAGCACAATATTTTTAAAATTTTAGGCCACACCAATTTAATTTTTTTGTTCACAGATACGCACGCTTCATTTTTTTTCAGATTTGCAAAAAAAAAACATTTCAGCCTCTGAATCAACTCCAAAATGCTCATATTTTAGTCCCAACAGTTAAAGAAGGTCCCTTCTCTTCAAAGTTGTTTCATTTTTTCCATCTATCAATGCAGTGGTTTGATTCAAGGTTTGAAATTTAATGTTTGAATTGCAAGCTAGCCTGGTATGTTGACTTCATGCCATTTGGGGCCATTATAGGATGCCTTGGTCTGTTTTTCTTTTTCTTTTTTTTTTTGCCCTGTCGCTTTTTTTTTTTTTGTGAAAAGAATCAAATTGGTGTCAGTGGTATATCTGGATTTCTTTTTCGTACATGTACTCAGTCTTACAGTGTATATCTTCTTTTTTTTACACCAGCCAAACTTTGGGTGGTAAGGAGGTCTGCTCCCAAAAATTTGCTTGTTGAATTTCAGGCTAGGTGAATGGATACTGCCCTTTCAACTTGACACTGTCTTACCAATTTGATACTGTCCTTCACCCACCATAAGATCTGCTTGGAGATTAGACATTTAGGACTACCCCGTGTGAACTTCGACTCAGCCTCATCAGAAGTGTACTGGTCTTGGCCTTGATTTGTGTCAATTGCCCTCATCAGGGTCTAACAAGATTTTTGCACCAGGCTAACTACCCCGAGGCTTAGGGACACACCGCGCCCAATCAGCTTAAGTGCGAGAGAGGGGCAGCATGGGAGATTCTTAGAGAATTCAAAACAGCTGCCTGGCAAAATTAGGCCACAGCAAGTAAATTTTATGGATGACATCCTCCACAGACTCCAAATCTAATGCAAGCGGGCGAAAAAAAACAAGACGGGCCAAAAAAAGAAGGTTCCTACATTTTAAAATTTTGACTCAATCATACAGTACAAATCGTTTTGATTCAGTGGGAACATCACATATACACAGCCAGCATCACATATCACTGTATCAAAGTAAGAAACAAAACATTAAATTAGAGCCTTTTCTTGTCTCCTCTCTTCATAGTTATCTGCCATCCACCTTCCGGCATGGCAACAGACATCTTTGCCCATTTTTGGCATGTTGACCACTGTCAGAGGGCAACAAAAAATTTTCTTTTTTTTTCCAAAATCAGGCGAAAATTTATGCGCGCGCTGATGTCATCCATAAAAATTACTTGCTATGGCCTTACTGTACATGCCAGACTTTGGCCTGACATGACCGTTCATAATCATTGTGAATGTGAGTTTAATAGACAATGATGTACTGACAGTACTTAACTCAATATTATAAAGTATGTTATTTTTGTCGTCTTCTCATTTAGAGACATCGAGTGCAAGTTCAAGGCTGCAAAATGGAAAATATTTTTGATGAAGAAATCTGTCTGATATTGACAATTACTACCATTTCTTAGCACATATTTGCCATTATTTCATACTTTAAGCATTTGAAATAGCCAAAAAAAACTACCTGTGGAATCCCTTTAGTTTTTTGTACCACCAATAAACAGCTAGAACTGTCAGCAACCGTCATCGCTTTTTTGCCTCAAAGATATGAGTATGCTTTGGTATAGGCTTATTTAACTACAGTTGTATCTACGTCTAGTTCTAAGTTTTGGGGGAAAAGACCAGAAAATCGACTTGGAAAATACAGTTCTACTGCCCTGAAATCACTTTGGATGCCTATATCAAAACTAAAAAAAACTAGAGAAGTAACAATTGCAAAGCAAATGCGTAATATTTACCTTCGGACATGGTCTGCTGTTAATTCTTACTCAAACACATTCACATATATGTACTACTAGTATATGGTGACAGGAGCAGGGCAGACCATGAAATTGCAACATTATGTAACCCAACACCAGTCACCATGGTGACAGATGTCAACAAATCATGTCAAATGGTCAGGTTAGAGGCCACTGTTTGGAGAAGAAGAAGAGGAAGAAACTGAGCAAAAACAATATGTATTCCTTCAATAAACATAACAATGGTCTGAAATCTCTGATTTCTTGTGTCTGAAATCTCTGAGTTCTTGTTGCAGGTTGAGATGGTGACACATGCCGGCCCCCATCGCAGGTTGTGGATGGGTCCGCAGTTCTCCTTCAAGACATTCCAGACCAACACGGCCGTCCTGTCCTCCAACTCCTCCGCTCTGCTGGGCCAGAGTCCCGACGCTAACACCGTGGACGTCCTGGCTGAGGAACTGGACCTGCAGAGTCTCAGGTAAGATACAGAGCGTTCTTGTTACTTCTGGGACAGAAGTATTGTTTTGGGTGGTGCTAGTTTAGGGGGAGTTTGTATGTTTTCTTTTCGTAGTAAATAGCAAGTAGCAATGATTGGAAGTGGAAACTGGACCTGCAGAGTCTCAAGAAAGGAACAGAACAGCCTTGTTACTGCTGGGACAGAAGTATTATTTTGGGTGGTGCTGATGTTTTTATGTATCTTGTCCTCAGCAGCAAAGATTGCGAAAATGGCTTGATGACATGCTCAGATATGCCAAGTTTCTTTTGATCTAATAATATTTTGTTTACTGATGTGATCTACAATTTATTTTGGAATGTATCATTTGCGGGTGGTGAACTGAAGCCCATTTCAGCACCAAGGACAGTGATTGGCATTTTTTGCTCAAGGTCCCAAGTCAAGTCAAAACTAGTCTTTTCAAAGCTGCTTTTTTTACTTGTGACAATGAAGACATAATTTCTGATCACTGTTTAAGTTTTACTAGTGATTGAAGATAGAGGTTGGGTTTCATTTGATTGACAGGGTTGAAGGCCCTTGATGGTAGGATGTGGTATGTGATTTTTCTACCTCCATGATTATACATACATGTACATGAGAATCCTAGATCGATTCCTGCTGTAAAACTGCTGAAAAATTGTTAACATGGCCAGGTAAGGCTGGTAATGATATCTGAGAAAACACAATTGTAGTTAGGCCAGGAATGGTTGTACGCCATGTAGCAATTAAAACTGTTGTGTCTCAAGTTGTATATGTTAATTGTGTTGTTGTTGTTTCCAGAGTTCAGCCTGTGCGTTCCCAGCCGGTGCCCACCCCCCAGTCTGGTAGGACGTCCCACACAGCTCCAGGGTTTGAACCCCTAGGACACTCACCTGGTTCTAATGCTGCTTCCATGCCTCTTCTCATAGATTCTGGACCAGGTATACAGTTTTTTTTACATTATGTGAATCATGTTCTCCATCTCTCTTCAGATAGAGAGTTATTATAATAGCAGTACATGGTGATGAAGGTCCAAACATATTCAACATAATCTGGTAGCAGTATGGAAGTGAGTGGGCAGAGATTGGGTTTCAGTGGATTGACAGGGTTGTGACCTAGCATGCCCTGAGTGACAGGATGTTGTAGGAAGTCCTTAGGTATGCATACTGTGTATAATCGTGGTATGGAACAAAACCATTTTGTGATACCAGAAAAGTTATGTCATACAATCGTATAAGTGATAATCCATTGTATGGTGTAATTCAATTGGGTATTTCCCAATAACCATGCAATGCATTCACAACAAAACTTACACCACTTATTCCTGACAAGAAAAGCTATCTGTCACCAAAAATCCAAGACCATAGCATGTTCAGGACAAAAGATACAAAAAGCCAGAAGTTCTGCTTCAGTACCAAGGTCAGCCACCAGGAGGCCAATATTTAACCTTGATCTTTGTCTTCCTAAGACCTACCAACGTAACAAATATCATCACAATCCATTAAGGCATTCTGAAGTTATGCTGACTACAAATGTGGGGAAACACACACACACAAACACACACACAGACACGCCAAAAACAATACCTGAATTTTTCATGGAGGTAAAAACCTGAAACACTTCCCGGAAGTCTGAAATGTGTGATTTCTTGTTGCAGGAAGTTTTGACCGAGGTACGAGAGTAGTGGAGATCTGTGGTAGCTGGCCAGAGTCAGGTCCCATGAGGGGAGCCGAGGTGCTGGAGGACAGGCTCAGGGAGTCCATCGCTGATGCCATGATAGAATCTCCAACTAAGGAGAGACCTTCTATCCATAGGACAGGTACCCAAGCTGCTGTACATGCAGGGCTCGAAAAAGGTGCACCCAAAAATTGGAGTTGTGCACCTAATTTGTTTCTGTGGGTGCACTGGTGCACCAAAATATTTTTGTAGGAATTTTTAACATCAAATACCGGATATTCTTGGTCTCTAGGTATCAGAAAAATAATGAAATCATTGTTGTAGTACTCGCGCGATCGTTTAAGATTTTGAAGTTAGCTCTCATTTTTGATTCAAAAGATTTTTTGAGGAAGAATTACTAAGTAACTGATAAATACAAAATATGACTGCTATATCATAATCTCCAAGTAGAGGGAGCTGCTACAACTGAAAGTTGAGGATGTTGTTCTGTACAGGTTCGAACTCCGGGCGGCGCGAGGTCCTACAACAGGAGGATGTCCTCAGCAGTAGTTCGGGGTCCGGTGGCAGCGCCCCTCGCACGCCCGCCACGTTTGACGCCCGGTCCTCCCCGCCACACTCTATAGACCACGTGATGGTGTTCCCTCCTAGCACTGGATCGCCTGACTGAGGTGAGCTGAGACTTGGCAGGCCTCGAAATTAATTTCTTCTTCTTCTTTTTCAATACCCTCTAACCACCCCCAAACAGGGTATCACAGAGGGGGGGAGCGTTACGTGGGTTATGGCAGGGCGGTTTCTACCCTGGCCTTAAAAACCTCTGCTGTCGGTGCCCTCACCACTGGGCACTTTCCTTCCTATTGTCCCTGCACTGTCCCTAAAATAAATTTCAATTGTCCCAAAGTGAGGATGAACTATCGCAACCTGTTTTTTGGGATCCGAAGTAGTGCATGACTTCAACTTGAAGTCAACTTTATTTTTCTTATGTTCACTCCCAGACGCACTATAATTGCAGTGTAGACAGGAAATTCGGGGTGACTTTTCTGAATCCAAAAGCCGGGACATGTGCCTAATAAACAAAAGAAGGGCTGACATTTTGATGTTGATTATTTTTCTATTGTCCAAAACTGTCCCAAATGTCTTTTTAGTTGTCCCAGCTTAAATTCTAGTGGTCAGTGGCCATTGGAACAACTATAATTTTGAGCCCTGGTTGGGTCCTCTTAGGGCAATGGGCTTGTAGTAGGAAGTATTGTTTTGGGTGGTACTTGTTTTAGGGAGAGTCTGTATGTATCTTGTCCTGAGCAGCAAGGATTGGAAGTGGGTGGACGGAGATTGGGTTTCAGTTGATTGACCTGGTATACCCTTGGTGGAAGGATGTGGTATGAAGTCACCAGGAATGTGTACTGTGTAATCATGGTATTAAACATAAACAATGGTGTAGTACCTTTACGGTAGTAAGTTACATCAAGTAGCTTAACGTCCAGATTTGCAAAGAAAATAATGTTTAACACCTTCACATGGTCAAGCCTAACAAACTTCACATGGTCAAGCCTAACAAACTACTTTTCTTTTTATATAATTATCTTATTCAAACACACTCATATGACCGGCCCTCCCAACTCTGTCCTGCAACTTGCAACATAATGTAGCCTAACTGTTACACATTAACTGTCAGACATCTGGTCCAGGTCATTGGCCTTCTGTGTTTGGAGAAGAAGAAGAAACCATACTAAGTCTTATCTTTTCCTGCGAGGTAAACATTAAGTACACTGGAAGTGATGAAACTCTTTCCTTAAGTGCCACAAAGGTTATAGGATAAACAGAAGATTTTGATTCATCCATGATGACCTCAAGGGAGAAATCTTCTTAATGCTGCCACCTGTGCTTACTGTAAAGTCTTACCTGTCAGTGAGTACGTGCCTTATGTGCTAAGGATGAGTCACTCACCTATACATGTGATGTCTCAAAGTTCACCTATGTTTTTAACTGGCGGATCTCCATGAAAAAAGGGGCTTTTTGGTCACAACAATGTAGAATACTTGAGTGTTAAACTTTGAAATTAGTCAAAGGCATATCACATACAGTCTATGATATGATATGATCATAACTTGATACAGGTGTTCTAGGAAAACTATAGTTGAGGATACAAATGCATCAAATTTAAAAATTGGTTTGATTTGATTAATTTACAAATGGAAGGAATAATAAAAGGTGGTCTTTTCTTTTTTATCAGTATCATTTTTGTTCAGTAACATTCAAAAATTCAAAATGACCAATCACAGCTGAAGTTCTATAACAACGGAAGGCTACCGTTATCTTCTGTCCAGTCAGCACGTGGGCGAAGCTTTAGCGTACGCCCGAAGAAGCCATGGCGGGATCCACCATATTTCGCCGGCCTATCTCCGTTTTATCTTTTCATACCTTAACCTTTTGATACAAGCTCCTGTGGGATGTGTTTTTGTGTGTTTGGTTGTCTGTTGCGCACACCTTCAAAAAGACTTCAAAGTGTGATTACCGGGGAGATATCCTGGGCTGGATGATGTGTGTGTGTCCGAGTACCGTACTACAAAGGTGGCGGGGCGAGCGGGGATTCAGGCGGGATTGGGTGGAGGACAACACTAGAGGTCGAGTAAGCCCTCCCTCTCTTTGTTGGATTTCTCTCCCATCTGATTTCCTTACACCGTACCTATCCTTCATCAAGCCGACCAAGCACCGCTCCGATTAAATAAGAATTGGGGCAGATGAATATGAATATGATAGATATGAAAATCTTATGCTTAGTTACATCACATGGAGTGAGGATGTAGAAAAATGAATTTTTGTCATTTTGCTCTTTTTGAATGCTTTCTGTGATCATTTAGGTTTTGCATATTACAAAAATAAGCTAATAGTAATAGTTCTGTGAGGGTTTTTTCTGCGTTGACAGGGTTGTATACATGATTGAATAATTAGTTTCTTTACTAGCCGAGTGCATGCACACTCTACCGCAGCTCGTAGACACTTTACAATTCAATCAACATATACTAGATAGTGTAAGTCTTTCCATTTTGCTGCTCATGACGGACAAAAATTTTGTGTATTCCATCATCTTTGATGGACAAAATTGGTGTGTAAAGATACATGTATGGAAAGAAATGTCATTTAACTAAGCTTAGTCTACCAGCACAATTTGCCCCTCAAAATGCATGAAATAACAAGTGTCAAGATATCAAAAGTGGCAGATGTAGTTACATCAAAGTTTTAGAAAAGGGCCTGAGGTGTTAATGGTATTGCAGCAGGTGCAGCACAAATACATATCAAAGAGGTGGAAAAAAGGGACCTCTTTATTGAAATAAACCTTTTGTAATCTGCTGCGTTACAAGGATTATGGCCCCAGGCAACTTCTAGATGGGCTATCTTTGAATGTGTCTTACCATACTTTCCTATGTAACCATAATGTCAATGAGGTAAAAAAGTAATAGGAATGAATAAAATTCATTATTTTTTCCCTCAAAATTGAAGAAAAATACACATCTGCAAGATTTTTTTTAAATATACATGTACATGTAGTACCTGGGTATCTAGCCCGTTCAATGGATTCTGAATGGAAAAAACAAACCCCTTACTCTTGTAGTCTTAGTCGTTTCACAATATTGGACCTTTTTTCTCCCTTTTTTCTTTTTCTACTTCCTACAGGCCAAACTCTTCCTGCAATTTGTAATTTGTAGTTTTATGCTTCCTTGCCACAAATCGATTATATTTGTCCTGCTTATATCTTAATGTATCATGATGTAAGCCCTATTGAACATTAAAATTCAACAACTGCCTTCCTACAAAGCACTTCAGGCAGCAAAGGGGCTCTTTCTAATGCTCTGAAGATGTTTTCAAACAAATATTTGAGATGTATATCACTGGAAGACAGATGTGCTTTTGGCTGCCATCACTATTACTTCTGGCTGCCATCACCTACAGATGCCAAAGTTGCCATGTGGATGAAAGCTAACAGAACTGACTTGGCCCAAACTTGTCAAATTGTTAATGGAAAAGTTTACTTGTGTGGTTTTTACAACCGGCATCGACGTACAACCCAAGGATACCACAGAAGACACCGATGACAGCACGATTGTGACAAAATCTTTACTGCGGACATCCTCTGATATTGTAAGAGGAAAATGCGCAATGATGTATCGATGCCGAGGAAGGATTTGACTAAAACGCATGGCTCGGCGGGGCGGCGCCTTTACCTATAGTCCTGCCGTGGTACTCCACACGGATAAGTGACAGTAAAATATCATGTGCCATAAACAAAAAGGCCGTATGTGGCTATCACGGTGGAATGAAGACAAATACAAGGGCAGAGGCCAGCAGTTCAACATGAAATATGGTGAAGTGTCTCCCTGGGCTCTCGGGAGGGACGTAACAGTTGAGAACAAATCAAGACCCTTCAGAAAAGCTCGCTGGTAAACGGCCTTGTTTACAGGGTACTATTTATTTGAAGGTCAGAATACCCTGTAGATTTTCCCCAATATCATTGGTCGTTGTAAGAAAAAGGTACCTTGTCCTAAAGGTATCTTCCTTCACAACAGATAACGCGATATGAGGATGGAAACTTTTTGTGTCGTTGACCCTGATTGGATTGGTATCCTGTCAGATGGTTTTTGGATTGCATTCTAACCTGTTTTCTTGCACAATATCCTTTCTCTGATGTCATACGTGTGATTGCTTTGGCCTTGATGGGAGCGGAAAAAGAGACATGCATTGTATGTCTGCAATGAAATGATATCAAGGACTATTTGTTTCTTGCATTGCACTGGCACAATTGTCAAAAAGTGGAGGCATAAACAAATCGGATGTATTGTTCCTGCATGACACCTTGGAGAGCAAGGATGAAGATACTTGCGATTGACATTGTCATCAAAAAGCAAAGCAATTTTTATACATTGTTGTCTACGATCGCTATTTGTTTCTTGCATCGCGCTGGCACACACGTCAAAAAATGGACAAGGTGTACGATGTATGTGTTCCTGCATGACACCTCGGTGAGATATGACGAAGATGGGGAAAATTTGTTAAGAAGTGCCCGGGGACGCCTTTCCCTCAGACAGACACGTTAGGTTCCCCTCCAGCCTGAAGGTGTGCGTTCATCACCCTGCTTAGTGTGGAGACAGGTGACAACGCTACCACTTGTAATCAGCAGGTCTGCGAGATCCAGCCGACAGTGATGAATGTATCACAAAGACCAGAACCCCAGAAAGTCTAGTCACCGGATAACAGGAGCAATCCTCCCTGATTCGGGAATATCCTCGGACTTCGGATTAAACGGACGAAAACCGTCCTCGGGTATGAAATATTTAAGTTAAAGTGGAAAAGCTGTTTGGTAAATGTCAGAAACTGGGCTGAGTTTGAAGCAGATGAAGATAAAGGGGGCCGCGATGTTGTCTCAGGCCCGAGAGTGTCGTTCTCGTTCAATTTTGGCAGGCAGATATTGTGGATATATCACCTATGCGGTGGGGTTGAGGCACAACTGGACAGGTTAATGGCAAACATGTATACGGCTTAATCATATAATGATCCGCCGCTGTAAGTGAAGTAACTGTCGGAATTGAGTGGATGCGATAGCGGGGGGGCGGAATGGGGGGCATGGGAGCTCGGGGAGTCATTTCTGCAGCAGGCCAGCTCCAAACATATCACCTCA